AGGCCCCTACCCTCAAGGAGCTTAACACTTACAGGATAAATCGGAAATGAGTAACAGGATAAGCACTTGATTTTGAAGGGGTTGTGAAATGCTTCCGATCAAAGATGGGATTTACACCCAAAAAGGTTAAGAACATTGTTTTCTAGTCTCTCCTTTGTCTCTAAAACATTGTCCCGTGTAAGTGACACATTGACATTCCAAGAAGATAGGAAAAACAGGATTTGACCACAATATTCCCCCTCCTCAAAAACCTTCATTGACTTCCTATTGCCTCTTGGATAAAAGTAAAGAAAAATATCCTAGAGCTCTGGCCTTGGAGTCAGGAGGACCGGCTTCAGACACTTGCTACTTACTAGGTGTATGACCCTGGACAAGTCACTTAACCCTGATCACCTCACCAGAAACAAAACAAACAAAATCCTTAGTCTTATATTAAAGCACTCTATATTCCCTACTTATGTCTATTATCTTCTAGGGCTCATTCCCTGTTCATGTGCGGGCAGTACTTTACTTTTCCCTCCCATCACAGAATGTCGGTTCTTTGATAAGCATAATTCCTGAGGATCAAGTTGGGATCCTCCAAAAACCTGCACTGTCCTAACCTAATCCAAGTCACTATTCTGGGAGAGTGAATTTGTGCTTTCTTCCCTTCTATATATACCTCAGGGACCTTAACAGAGCTGCACAGGAGAGAGGCCCAGTATGTTATCTGGAGTTTGGGCCTTGACTTGTACCTCTGGCCTCAGTACCTTATCACCAACACCTTACATTTAGCAGGACAACATTCCTACAAGTAAACTATATAAAATAAAACTCAGCTGTTCTTGGTGATCCACAAAAATCCTGCCCTTTAAATTGTCTATGAACATTAAGTAACAGCTTAATCAGTCAGCAAGCCATTTACTCTGTGCCAGGGACCATGCTAAATGCTAAGACTTCCAAAAAAAAAAAGGAAAAGCATATTCTTTCCCCTCGAGGAGCTCACATGCTCTTGGGAAGACAAAATGCAAACAGTTATGCATGTACAAGATATAGACAGTATAAATGGAAGGTAATCGCAGAGGGAAGTCACCAGCTGGGGGGTAGGAGGGGGTGAGGAGGAAGACTACCAGGAAAGGCCTACAGAAGGTAGATTTTGAGCTCAACCTTGCAGGACATTAGAAGTGAGGAGGGAAAGCATTCCAGCCGTGAGCAATAGCCAGTGAAATGGGCATAGAAGGATCATTGAATCCATAGCAGTTGATGAAATTCCCCAAGTGAAAGAGTATTAAGGTAGAAAAGGGCCTGGGATAACTCCTCAGTGGACATCAGTGATCCGTGGATGTGACTGAAGATCCAGCAAAGGAGACTTAGGCAGGAGGGAGAGGATCCAGGAAAGAGAAGAGAGTAGTGTCACAAAAACTTGGGGGGAGGGAGGAGAAAGTATTCAGAAGAGGGTTCTCTACCATTACAGAGAAGTCAAGGAGGATGAGAAATGAGAAAAGGTTATCAGTTCTTTAGTAACTTTGAAGAGGGCAGTTTCTTTTTTTTCCTTTTTTTTTTACACAATTGGGGTTAAGTGACATGCCCAGGGTCACACAGCTAGCAAGTGTCAAGTGTTTGGTCTGAGACCTGATTTGAACTCAGGTCCTCCTGACTTCAGGGCTGGTGCTCTATCCACTGTGCCACCTAGCTGCCCCTGAGAGGGCAGTTTCAACTGAACAATTGCAGAGGGTTTAGAAGAGAGTGAGAGGAAGGAGAAGTATCAAGGGAGACTTTGGTTTTCGTTTTAGATTTTTAAGCGCAGGGGACAACTGGATGTGTTTGTAGGCAGCAGGAAAGGAACCAGTAGTTAGGGAAAGATTAGTAAGAAAGTGGGAATGATTGGAAAGGGGTTGGAGTGGGGATGAGAGGGGAATATGTTAGAGAAGATAGGATGGAATAAGAGTGTATCTGTAAAGAACCTACTTCTTCCTGTGTGATAGAGGTGAAGGAGATGAGGGATGTGAGGGAGAGAGAACAAGAAGGACCTTTATGTGAATAGCCTCAATTTTTTTCAGTTAAGTGTAAGGTGTGGTCCTCAGCCAAGAAGGTGGAAGGATGGGAGAAGGAAAGAATGGTTTATTTAGGGTCATGCGGCAAAGGGAAATATGAAATGATAAAAAAATTATGATCAAATAAATTTCAGAATGATCATCTCTGTTCAAAACTGAAGTGGAATGATGGATTTGGAATGATAACTGAGAAGATCAAAAAACTGGGAAATCAGGGTATTTGAGGAAATATCGATGTGTATGTCAAAGTTTCTTATTATGAGGGCTAGAGATGATGGAGATGGAGAGGAAAACAGTGAGACACTGAATTCGAGGAGAAAGGAAGGAAAATGACCTGGGGATTGATGGACATAGCCACTAGAAGCTTGATTGGGTCTTAGATGTGGATTGAGTGAACTTCAAAGGTGGAGTGGTGTTGTAGTTTACAATTGTTTTGGAAGGTCTTAGAGACTGAACAATGTAGGGAACTGGAAGGCATCTGAGTAAGGTCCTGTGAAAGGGAGATAAAGGAACTTGAAAATTTAAGGTTTTCCAGGGCTTGGGACAAAAGGCATATCTGGATAAGATCAGAAGGCAGGCCAGGGCTTAACAACTAGACAAATTTTAACTACTGATATATGGCACTAAAAAAAATAACTCACAGAAATCTATTCTTTAACCGTATCCTACCTTCTGAACTCATTACCTTAATTACACTGAGAAGTCTTCACTGGGACATCCCATTCAGATGTAACCATAACAAATTTACTTTTTTTTTCAACGTCAAGTGAAGCCTAAAATAGGGAGATGCTTGTTTGCTAGTGTTGTGAACAATGCCCTGCAGAGAGAACAAATGGATGAAGGATTCTCTGTAGAGAGTGAGGTCTTCCAAATGGTCCTATTTGTGAATTGCATTGTGTTGAGTATAACAAGCCACAGAGCACTACTGGGCTTCCTAATGGAACGTTCAAAAGGGCTCAGTCAAGCAATTCACACAGGAAAAAATGATGTGGACTAGTCACATAGAGAGAGCAAAGGATGAGAAGATGGACAGGCTAAGTGTTGAATTGGTGTTCACTAAATATTAAATGACCTTTATTTGGACTTCTCCATCATACCCCAGGAACATTATCATCCTGCAAAATCAGCCTTAGTCCTCATACCCCATCAGTACCCTCTGGCCCAGGCCGGGGCGGGGGGGGGGGGGGGGGGGGTCTAATTGAAAATTGGAGCAGAAAGGTCACAACACCTCCACCCCCAGGCCAGCCATCTCTTCATTTCCCACCTAGCTGCACTTGACTTCTTTATCCTGGCCTTTGCACGAGGTACCTTCCCTTCCTCCACCCCTTTTTTCTTCCTTTTGTGTGTTGTCTTCCCCCATTAGATCATAGGCTTCTTGAGGCAAGGACTGTCTTTCTTTCTTTGTAGTTGTATCCCCAGTGCTTAGTACAGTGCCTGGAATGTAGTAGGCTCTCAATACATTTTTATCTACTGACTGAGTGACCTAAAGATCACTCCAGTACATTGGGTAAAACTACTCTTTGGAGAATGTGGACAACCGTTGCACCGGATGAACACCTGGAGATGGGTAGCACTTTGCATCAATGGAGATAGCACTCATCTTGGTAAGAACAGAGCTCCATCAAAGTTACTCAAGTAGTGAAGATCATTGACATTAACAGGTAATCCCCAGATTTTGTTCCCCTATTCTAGCCCAAGCTGATGATTTTTTGTAGACAGTCACATTTGAACACAATTGCTGCTATTAGGACCTGTGTGAGGAATCCTGTGTACTCCCAATACCTTTATACTGCCCTCTTCTTCCTCAGATTCTCTCATTGTTACCTCACCTCCCCAAATTCTCAGTGCTTAGATTCCCTTCTTTTCACACACAAACTTTTATTCCCTGATTTCATTGCCTAAGTATTCAGAAGAGAGAAACTTTATTAACTCACTGAGGTGTTAATGACTAATAAGGATGTTTCCATCTTAAAAGAAGCACTAATTAAGCCAAATGAATCCCTGGTTGATTTCTTTTAAGCATTAAAATAGAGTGATTGGGACTATTAGAGATCCTAGTCCAAGCTTCTCATTTTACAGATGAGGAAACAGATGCCAAGAGGCTTAAGGATTTGTCCGAGGTTTCACAGGTAGTTGGTACCATTGTTGGAACTAGAACCTGACTCTTTTACAAGTTGACTTTTTCATTTTTATTCCTTCCTTAATACAGAATACATTCTGTGTAAACAGTTACAGCCATGTCATTTTTTTCCCTTCATTGTTTACCAATTATTAATGGAAAGGAAGAACGAACACTTGAACTTTGTCTCAATGTTATTCTCCATTGTACTTGACCCAAAGCTTGTGGACAACACCCAGAGTGTTGTCTTTGTTTACCTTGTTGGTCATCGTGTTTATTGTTCTATCAGCTCCACTTTCTTCAGCTGGCATCACTTCCTACACATCTTCTCATGTTTCTCTGAATTTAAAATCGTCATCATTCCACCACAGTGATCTTCCATTGAATATCATAATTTGTTCCATCACTTACCAATCATTGGGCATGCATTTTGTTTCTCGATTTTTGTCATCACAAATAACGCTGCTGTCAACATTTTGGTCTATGTGGGTCCTTTGAGGTTTTTTTATGTCAACAACTTCTTTGTGAGATAGTCCTAGTTCTGGAGCTCTCTGTTAACAAACCTGAACAATTACTAACTTTTTTTCATAAGTACAAAGTGTTCATCTGAATTGTTGATCCAATTTACAGACTAGAGCAGGAAATTAGCATCCTGTCTTCCCACATAAAAGAAAATATAAAATCTGTTAAAAACAAACTATCTGCAGTTTACAAATGTATCAGATTGGGAGGTGCAGCCTAGACTAGCTTCTCCTTGGGAAGTGACTGTTTGATTTGAATTTTCACTAATTTCCAGCTCCTCCTCCCTCCTCCTTCTCCTCTCCCTTCAATTCTCTCTGGCACTGCAGATTGTGATTATGTGGTCAGCAGCCTGGCTGAGATCTTCTCCCACACTGAGCCTTTGATCCAAGCACTGGTCACCAAATGAGCATCTATCTGCTCTTAGCTTGGGCAGGTGGGACTTGGCTCAGGTAAGTGGGTAGTCTGTTTTGGTTACTGTGGCAAACTAAACTTATTTAAAGGGACAAGCAGCTGGCAGAGGGAGGTTTAAGGTCTGGGGTGGAGAATGAGAAGGACCCGGAAGAACTCTATCCAGCCTTGATGACTCTGAGTGAATAAGCTGCCCCCAGGGGTGAGAGAAGGGGGGGGGGGACCCTGCCCTTGGTCCAGAAGGGACATGAGTTTGTAAGCTTGCCTCTTCAGCTGCATGGAAAAGGCATCCTGCCTACAACCTGGGGTCCTGAAGAACCTCTAGGCACCCAGTAGAAGAAAAAAAGGAGGTAAGTTTTCTGTTTGATCACATGTGTTCACAGGTGCTGGGAAACTGCCTTTTAGTTAAAAAAAAAGTGGGGCAGCGATTGGATAATGGACTATATTGCTCTCTCCTGTGTCTCCCATACATAGCAAGAAAACCGAATGAGCTACAAGAGTTGGGAGACTTCTCTTGACGTTGAGAATTAAGCAGCACTTGGGATAATAAGGAAATTATTTCCTTAGAGATAAGAAAAAGATAAGGATTTTGACTATAAGCAGCCAGAAATCCTCTTGCCTTTGAAGGTTTCAGTCAAAGCTGTTTTTTAGGAAGACTAATCTGATGTTCCGGGTGTATTAATTTGGCAAAGGACAGGAGGGAGGGCAGGCAGTTAGAAAACTTGTAATAACCTAGGCTAGACAACGCAAGGATCTAACACATCTCCAAAAGTCTCACATCCAGAAAAAGAACTATGGAGTTTGAATGCAGATCGAAACATACTATTTGCTTTTTTTTTCCCTTCTGTTTTGTTTCTTCTTTCTTGTGGTTCCTCCTGTTGGTTCTAAATCTTCTTTACCATATGACTAATGTGAAAATACATTTAACAGGAATGTATATGTAAGCCTATGTCAGATTGCACACTGTCTTGGGGAGGGAGGCGGAGAGGAGGGAGAGAAAATTTAAAACTCAGAAGCTTATGGAAGGGAATGTTGAAAACTAAAAATAAGTTAATAATCTAGGTTAGAGGTAATAGGATTCCTAAAGCTAAGGACAGGAGCCAGAGGACAAGGGAGCACCCTGATAGTCTTCTCCTTTCCCACCACCTCTTAACCTTTATAGTAGAGCAAAGGAAAAATCTAGGGAGGATGGATAATGGATGATACCAAACGATAAATTTTAGAGGATACCCCTTTGTGAAACACTGAAGCTCTACAGAGCATATGGCTTAAGGGGCCCTGTTACATCTACCAAATACGCACACACATGCACTCACAACTGACTGGCCTGTCCTGGTATCTGAATTTCCTACCATTTAAGTTGCTTTTAAAATTTAAGGCAGAAAAGAAAAAAACAATTAAGGCAGTATCTCTAGAAAGTCCCTATCAAAATATAGTTATCATCTGAGAAGTTTGCCATTGTAAATTTGTAACTATTAACACCATTGATCAGGTGAGTTTCTGGGAAAACTAGCTGCTTCCTAGTCCAGAGAGGGGCTATGAATAGAGTCAACACTGATGGAAAGAGAAGCAAGAATCTGCTACATGGGATACAGGCCTGAATGGCAAGAAGGAAAGGACCAGGATCCTGGCAGGAGACATCTGGGGCCACATTGAAGACACAATTTACAGTTTTGCCTGGGGAAGACTCCCTCTCAATTGCCCACCGTATGGATTCTCATAACTCTGCCCCCTAAAAGCCCAGGCACATCCCTTGTTTTCCTCTTCCATTTCAGGGCTTTGAGAAAGCTGTCCTTGGGCAATGGCTGGACTTCCCTGAAGGAAACTTTATTCCAAAACCTCCAACTCCCTTAGACAGGGGATCTAGCTAGCTAGGGACCCTGAGAGTTTCCAGGGTGAATAGGATATGAGAAAGGGAGGGTCACATAATCTAAGGAAGCAAATATGAACCTGGGAATTGAAAAAACTTTGGTTCTGGTCCCAGTTCTTTTTTCTTTTTTTTTCTTTTGTTTTTGTTTTTGTTTTTAGGCAACTGGGGTTAAGTGACTTGCCCAGGGTCACATAGCTAGTAAATATCAAGTGTTTAGTCTGAGTCTGGATTTGAACTCAGGTCCTCCTGACTTCAGGGCCGGTGCTCTATCCACTGCGCCACCTAGCCGCCCCCCCCAGTTCTTTTTTCTGTGTGACCTTGGGCAAGTCACCTAACATTTGTTTCTTTTTCTCTTATAAAACAAAAGGTACAGTTCTACCCACTTCCCTACTCCCACTGGGGAGGCACATCTATGAAGTATTTCAAGGTCCTCTGAAGAAAAACACTGAGTAAATTCAAGAATTCTGATTTTTTTTAAAATTAGTGATGGTAACACTAACAAAGAGCAAAGAGTACAGAACAAAGGTTCTTTGAAGAGTGAGGCAAAAGTCACATTCAGGCAAAAAAACATTTGTGCTTTATTCATATCTGGAGTTAAATGAAACTTTATTGTGTATCTCATGTTTCAATGTTCTTGGTATTACTAAAAGTGGATAGCTCTAGGGTTGTTTTTGCCCCCATCCTATATCATATGGGTTAAAATGATATTTGATGCCCACTGCAGTGTAATAGGGAAAAGCCCTGGGACCTGGAGTGAGGAAAACTGAGTCCTAATCTCAACTTTGAGTACTTATCTTCAGATATTTCACCACTGTGGGTCTGAGTTTCATCGTCTGTAAAATAAGGGGGTTTAACTGGATTTCCAAGGCTCTTTTTAGCTCTACTAGTTTATATATGAGTCTAGAAAATAAATGTATTAATAATAATAGTATAAATCATCACTAACAAAAATAGAAGCAAGATTGTCATCTGGTGGATAAAGGGTTGTGTGACCTAGCATGAGTCATTTCACTAGTATGTGCTTCAAGAAACTTGTTTAAATGAAATCAAAGATCTTTGGGGTGTTGAGGTACAAATGAAAATAAACATGAACCAGGGTATTTTTGTAGCCCTGTGATATAGCAAAGAATGTTTTGGCATGTCAGCATTTGAAAGGTGAGGAAGAAGTTACTTCCTAGAAACATTTCTGATGATCCTGGTTCTCCAGTATTGTCCTGAAACAGTGGCTTCTGTCAGAACCCCAAACCAATACTGCTCTTTCACATATGGGTTTCCTGATTGGGAATGAGGGAAAGAGACAGAGCCAGGCTGAAGAATAGATAGGCTCCTGGATCAGGATGGAAAGGACCCAGAAGGGTTGTGAAGGCTTTAAACCAAGGATGAGAAAAGAAGCTAGAAGCCAACTCTAGATAAAAAATATGAAGTAGCCAAGTTAATAAGATAGTCAAGGTCATTGGCCTCTCCTTTTAGGGGCTTTTCCCTTCATTCTCCACCTTTGTTTCTTTTGATGGCAATGTCCATCCTGTTTGCTATCTTTTGGCATGAGCATCTTTAAACACTATTCCTCCCTGATGGTTCTCAGAAAGGATCTGAAACTCATTTGGCTGACAATTATATAGAACTTCATATTTTACAAAATTCTTTATATGAGCTATCTTTACAGAACCTCAGAATTGAAGGGGACCACAGAGACCATCAATGAGTCAACCAACAAGCATTTTTAAGTGCTTCTTATGCTACAGGCACTGCTAGAGGCTAGAGATACAAAGGAAAAAGTCAGGATAGACCCTGCCCTCAAGGAGCTTCTAGATAAGTAAAGATAGTCTATATACAAAGTCATTAGGGGATGGGGGAGCCGTTTAACAAGGAGGAAAATCAAACAACATCTCTGTTGAGCAGGCTATTTAGCTGGTCCCCGGGTCTGCTTCTCTCCATAGTCAACTGTCTTCTCTGCTGGTAGGGCTCTCACTTCCCAAAGCTCCTGGTTCCCTTCTGTGTCTTTGTGTATCTGTGTCTGTCTGGAGTATACTTCTCTACTCTCAACTATGCCTCCCACTATTGTACTGTCAAACTCCTGGATAGGGTAGCTTCCTCTGGGCAAATCACTGCTAGATGCCATGACAAATGGGGTGAAGGAAGAGAGAGAAACTTTGTTCCCTCATTGTGGGGGTCTCTTCTACAAAATGCTCCTCAGCCTTGAGCTATTTCTTCAAAGCCCTGTAAAGATCTTGTCTAATGTTTGCTCACACAGTGAGGTTGTTCCCTTTAATTCTGTCAGGGAATATTCATGTAATGCAAAGGCATTAATTATCTTCACAGATAAACATATTTTGTGTTTACATTCTTCATGATCATGGGCAAATGTGAATATTGAAGTAGAAGAACTATGAGGTCTCTTAGTTTTGACACTACGATTCTATAAATCATTTTCCTTCTTAAGCCTCTCCCCTACCTCCTTGAGTATGGAAAGGAGGGGGGGGGGAATGGAAAAAAGGAAATCAAACCCAAGGAAAATTTGAAGACCTGTTGTGAATCCAGGAAGACTAGCTAAATTTCATCTTGGCTTAATAAGGTATGGGAGACCTGCCATGGCCCCACAGTCAATGAATGTTTTAAAAGACTTTTTTGGTCTAGTGTTAAATGATTGTCCTGTCTATGTCCAGACAAGTTTATATGAGATGGCAGTGTATTTAGGGTTAATTTGATTTGAAAAGTATTGAGGTTTTTTTCTCTAGCAAAAGATATTTTAAACATCATCAGACCCCTAATTCTGAGTGCATATGTGAGAGAGACAGCCTTGTTACCTGTTACTCTCTATCCAACAAATGATGATCCGGCTAATTCAGCCTGGCTGTTCCTCACTTTGTATGTATGACACTTTGATCAACCATCTTGGTGCCTTTGTACTGGCTGGCCCTATGCCTGGAGTATATCCTCTTCTCAACTTTGATTCTTAGAATCTCTTGTTTCTGTCAAGTGTCACCTCCTACACTAAGCCTCTCCAGTTGCTGGTACCGTCCCCCTCAAAAAAAATTATCATGTATTTATAGTGTCTATATTTTATATACACCTGTGTAACCTATGTAAACCCTAGGAATCTTTATCCCAACAGGGATAAGGACTCACACTCCCCAGAGGAACCCCCCTAAGGAATTTAAGGGTATGCCTGCGGTGTTGGGGGTTTATTTCTAATGTTATTGGCTTGAAACCAATCGGGTATGTTCTCACCCAGAGAAATCACCAGTGCTATTTACTATGTGGTCCCAATATCATTTAACTAATTAACAAAACTAATTTATTTACTAAGATATAGTAAGAACAAAAGTACAAATTCATCTCCAACTGGGCACACACGCCTATACTACTTCAGTCCCATTTGCCTTAAAGCATTTGTTCTCTTCCTAATGGGGCATAGCCAGTGGGCAAAGTTACTTAAAACTGGCTTCTTGACTACAAGTCCAATTCACTGCTAGGCTGGAT